AGAAAAAATAAAAAACACCCATGAGTATATGCCCCCCGAAAAAGGAGAAGCAAAATTCGGTTGTCACGTTCATTTGTGATACTCGATGGGGGGGGAGGGCAGAACGGGAAGTAAAACCAGGCATCCTAATTCTGCCTCCACACATATGTGTGTACCCATTTCTATACATGCATTATGATATGCAATTTGATAAATTTGAACTTGTTCTGGTGCATACATAATTGAAAAAGGTGGTTTGCCTCCGTTTTGAGAAAAGAAGGGGCAAAGGCAGGATAATCAAAATGAGGGTATGTTTACTCTTAGTAAGGCCTTTGTTTCCCATTTCTTTTGAGGCCTATGGGAGGAGAACACCTCAATGGTGGCACTGCCTACGTATGGTTAGCTAAGGAAAAAATGGGCGTGAAAATTGCTGCGTGTATACATACCGATAGAAACGCATGGGAAAAGGAATTAATTCTTCAAAGGGCATTGAAATTTTGTTAAAATGGCACACACTAGGAGGGGTGCTCATCATTCGGTCGTATCGACAGTCCGTGCAGTTCGTCCAGTCTGTGGTGCGACTTTTCAATCGTTTAGCACTCCATCAGTGGGACTGCCCAATCGTTTAGTACACCATCGATACGACTACCCAGTTCACAATCCACCACGTTTGCATAAATGCAAAGAAGGGAAAGAAAAAAAAAGAAAAAAAAAAAAGAAGAAAAAATTTAATAATATTCATACATTTAAAAGGATGAATAGAACAAATTTAAAATTAAAAACAAATGGGGAGGAGAGGTCCCCCGATAGGTGTAGCTTACTGGCTGCGGCGAGACGAGCTTGCGAGGGGAGCACTTGGGTGGGCAGACATGCGATGGGATCACCTGGGTGAGCAGACATGCGAGTGGCTATTTATCCATATATGTCTGTATCTGCATGTGTGCGTATTGGTACCCCTGCGCGTGGCCTACTCAAGCGCCTTGAGGAGCGTTTCGGAGAGGTGGCTGTCCTGGGAGCGGCACACGATCTTCAACAAGCAGCCGTACTGCTGCGAAAGTATAAGGGACGCCTTGCAGAGAACATGGGACTGGTTCATATATCGAGCGGATAGAAGCATGTTATGGTTGGTGGTGTCGGCCTGGACACTGTCTGTCTGGTCGCACGCCATCATGTTTAATGTATTTAATAACCCAACGACAGCGAGCTGAATATTTTCGAAATTCAGACTAAATTTGCTGACAGCTTCTGAGTTGAGATTTTCCATGCTGTCCCAGACATGTCTGAATTCTCCATTTCGTAAAATCCGTGGGGAGATGAAGTCGGTGATTTGTATACTCAAGGGGTTAATGGAGTAGGAGTCGGGGAAGCCATCGTCCATTTCGTTCTCTTTCGTGAGGAAGTGCAGGGAAAGTTGGAAGTGCTGGTTGACCTGGTAGTCTCTACTGGTGGGTGCTTCCAATACGGGCGTATTTCTTCCCAAGAGGACATATAAATTTTGGGGGGCGTTAAAATATAAGTTAGGAATGGTGGTTTTCTCCAAAACGGTCCATTTTTTATCATAGGAGTTTATTTGCATGTTTACGTCGGCCAGAATTTGTTGACTTAACGTATTCTGTATGATAAATTCTAGTAAGATGTTCCTATCGTAGATGTATTTCTTCACAAGGACGGTGTATTCCGCTTCACTCTCTGTTAGTGGTACGGACTTGCTCACCATTTTGAGTGTGCCCATTTGGTGCTTCTCTATAAAGTTAGCTACCTGTTCTGATAAAATAGAATCCATATTCTGTTCAGGTACTTTTGTGCCATTTAGGGATGAAGAGTACACATCTGGGGTGGAAGTTTTCCTTTTCGAGTGGGGCGTCGAAGGAGGTATTAAATCTTTGAAAGTGCTGTCTCCCATTTTTTTTATTTCCTCTTTCGCATTGTGGTAGTTAAATTCTTCCGTCACGTTATCCTCCACATGTTTTTGAATTAAATAAAGAAGATTTTCCAAATGGGCAGGTGGTTCATTTGTTAGCAGTTCATCAATGAGGGGTAAATCCTCAGAGGGGTGATCCCCCCGGAGGAGATCCACTGTGTTTATCTTCTCTTTCAAAATGTGATACAGGAAGTTGGAGCGATCCCTGACTTCATCATCGTTATCAGTTAGGAGGCAATTTAAAAGGAACAGAATATCTTTTGAATTGGAGCCACACTTTAAGGCAATGTGAAAGAGAGCATACAATCCATCGACCCGTATCGTCGAATTTTCCAAAATGAGCCTATTGTAAATGTACCTTATATACTTAGATGGGGTAGACGTCTTTGGGATGTGCACCAATAAGAATCGGATAACTCGGAGGAGGAGAGAGTTATACTCACAGTCTTCAATAAATTCACATAGCTGCAAAATTGCTGCTTCTTCCGAGTTGGGTATTTCACTAATGATTAGGATGATCGCATCGATTGTGTTTGATTTGAATTGATACGATTCTTCATCTCTAAGATTGCTGGAGAGGAAACTGAGGATGATGTTACACTTGGAGGGGTAAATAAAGCATAGGTTCTTCAGTTCCTCGATAATTTGAATTTTAAAAAAAGTGTTATCCCCCGTCATGTAGTTATTTATTTGGCTAAGCAATCGATCTATGTTTTCTTCATTTCCCGTTTTGAGTAACGTGGTGAATGCCAAGACACAGATACTTTTGTTACTATCTGTTAGTAGATTCTCTATGTCTTGATTAATCTTAGACGCGACGTGGGGTCTATGATGAGAGAGTTTATTTATCTGTCTGATTATGCTAAATTTGTCTACTACTTTGGAAGATAGTAGAAATACTTGACATACCTTCATACACTCGTTCAGTATATCGACGTTGAATACGGTAGTGGAATTTCTTCCTCCTTTGTCGTGAATGGCTAGATCGAATATGCACTTAATGCATTCGAAAAGAATCATGGGGTCTTTACTTTTGAGACAGTTTTTCAGGTAATCGAAGCAGACTTTCGTCGTGGGGTGTATGAAGTTGCCTTTATTAGTTGCATAATCTTGTATGTTGTACATATCGTGCGTTCGTCCCGGAGATCGGGCGGCCTGCGCGGGGGAGAGGCCGCCAATAGGGCCGCCAGCATGCGGGGAAGTGGCTCCCGGGGGGAGGTGGTTCGTATTGGCCAACTCACTCTCCACCTCGGTGCAGTAAATCAGGGAGGAAGCATATTTGATTAGAAGGCAGTTGGCAAGGGAACCGGACAGATTACTGGAGCTTTTGTTATACGACGAGATGATCTTTTCTAAGGCCAGTTTATCCTGGTACTTAATAGAGCACAGCAGCGTGAGGGCATGAAACTGAATCATCGGATTCTTGCTGTTAATACATTCGCTGACTTCATGAATCCACTTCTTCACAATATCGCAGGAGGCATTCAAATATAGATTCAATCCGCACAGAAGGGAGGAACAAGAAACGAAGGGATTCTTATCCACTATGGCTGTTTTTAAATAGCGCTCAATTTGAGTAGCCATGGAGTTATCTATAATTTTACTTAAGACCCGCATGGCATTGGCCCTATAGCAGTCGTTTGCTGAATTCATGTCCTTCGTTAACGAACTGGTTACGATGAATACTTCTTTCTCATTAACTGGCAGACTTTTAATGAGTAAATAAACCATCCTTCGTAGCCTCTCATTGTTAGACTGGAATAATTTAGTGATGTTAAAAAATATGTCTGTGCATTCTTGTGATGTTAGTTTTTCTTCCCCTTTATTTATGAGGTATAGAATTTTGGTCAATATCTGCATGCACTTCTGAGTGTTCAGGGGGTAGCTGGAGAAGACTCTGGTCTCCTGGAGTATGCTCGCCTTATCGCCCTCATGGGGATTGACAAAAGATTTTTCATTGTCATACTTGGAATCCTTCAGCAGGTTTCTTTGAATTTTGTCTTTGAGCCCGAGTGGCTTCAACATCGTCCCTGTTTGGCTCGGACCAGTGGATCGGTTTCAAACAAAGAGTAGTCCCCGTTGGGCGCGCTGTACTGAAGAGCCAACCCCTAAGACACTAAAGAATGGAGGCTTGGCCCACGTGCATTCACTCTCTGCGCAGGAACAGATCAGACACATGTGCGAAGGTGCCCTTCCGCGATTGTTTCATTTATGTCAGCGTTGGGTCGGTAAATTGATGGCGTTGTTCTTCAGAAGCGGGGAAGAACCACGTATACACACAAATGGAGGGAGAGAGGGAGAAGAAACGACCAAATTGGTCAATTAGAAGATATGGAAAAATGGATCACAGACGGGTGGGTGATGGAAGAACAGAAAGAACTCTTTCGTAGTGTCGGCTGAGGATAGGAACGCTGATGAGAAAGGGGCTGCGAATCGGTCGGTTCGTTTGCTCTCTACTGAGCGACAGGAGGGTTGTACGCGCGATAAGGAAGTTTAATGTATGTCACGCTATGTTGCTTCTCTTCTTCTCTGCTTCCCCCTCCACAAATGCTTGCTAGGCTGCTCAAGTTCTCTCGCCAGCTAACACCCTGCTATCGTATGTGCTCGTTTAGAAATCCTTCCAGTAAAATACGGGATGTGTCAATCTGTTAAGTTGTTTTCATCATTGGGATATTTTCTTTTTCTTTTGGCATCCTCAGCATGGCGAAAGAAGTTATCCTTAACGTGATAACGGGACCATTTTTTCTAACCTGGAAAACTGATCACTCGGTCGTTTGCCTTTACAAATGCTCATTCAGGAGGTCGAGTTGTGCTGGAAAGTAAAACATATGAGTAGTAACTATTTCTGCGATTTTTTTTTTCCATTCGTTCAATTTCGACGCAGCAAGGGATGGGTTACATGAATATGTGCTCTTATGCTGTACTACCATATGGATCTTTTTTTTTTTTTTTT